TTTACATGCGTAATTATTACAACCTAGTACTAGGTTACATATTGAGTTACTATGTGGAGTTTTAAGAAATTAGTGTCCAGGTACTTTTGACTATTTAATAAAATATTGTCAATAATTATTGAAATTTATACAGGAGAGTGGACTTGACTCTCCAACATTGTACTTTAAAGCATTACTTTCCACTCGCAACTCATCCTATGTGAAAAAAGGATTGTCAGGTAAAGTATCACACATAATACGTCATTGAAATAAATTTAATGAATGTGAATATAAATTTATACAGTCGAGGCTCGTTATAGTGGCCTCGCAAACTTTTATAATTAACCATTTCTCGTTACAGTGGAAGAAAAATAAAAATCCACATGGAACCGTGCGTAACAAGCTTTGACTTTAATTATTCGTTCTTTTTAGGGAAGAGGAACAGGGGGTGAGTGTATGAGAATGAACACAAGTTTCATTTGCAGGTGGTTCATCCTTCTTGAAATAATCAGAAATTCTAGTCCCTTGTTGCATGCATTTGTATTTTACACTTCCAGGATAAAATGCGCAGAGGTCAAATTTGATAGTAAGAATATCATTAGATGGGTGGACAAACCAAATGGTATCTAACCTCAAGTTCGAGCCTGTTGGAATTTGCATTTCTAAAAACGTCATTTGTATAAAATATGCAGTTTTCGTAGAGAACTTACTTCTTTCTGCATTATCCACGATTTTTCTAAGATATATCTTGCTCATCACAATAAATTCTTTAAAAGCATCTATTCACTTATGAAACGCAAAATGGCCACCGTTGTTGCCCTTAGATGCCGTCATGCTCATAATCAAACAGATATTTTTACTGGAATTTGCTTAAAGAGAAATATCGAAATCGACAGTATAAAGCAAGTCGAACTAGATATAAAATAAAAATTGTATTACGAATCTATTCACGGATATCAGTTACAGTCAGTATTCAAACTTGGGAATGAAGATAAGAAGACTGTTTCATAATAATTTCTTGGCGAGAAAAATTTAAATAAAATCAAGGTTCAAAAAAAAATACATATATTCCTAACTTTCTAAAAGTAAATAATAAACACAATCGCAATCTTAATGAGGAAGTTAGATAGACAAAATAAAGAAATTTAGTTGAGATTAATAATCAAATTGCATTTTTATTTTTAATTGCTAATATAAATTTTTTAAAAAAAAACCATAAAATAAAGCTACTATTGATGTTTTTATTATTTATTGAACAGTAATACGCTTGACTGTGACACCCTTCAGTTCTTGGAAGCTAATAATGAATAATAATAACCTAATTCCGAGCACACCCAAATCTAAACGTGCATCAACTTTATCACGATCAACGTTGGTGGGAAGCGGTAAAGAACGCATAAAATAACCATAATGACGTTCTCTAGTCCAATCAGTTGCAGTATCCCAAGAATTTTCCTTGGATGTTTATCCACTAAAAATAAAAAATTTGCTTTGCCTGATAACTAAATTATCATCACGAATATCGACCATATTATTATATAATACATATTAACGAAAACAATAATAATTGATTAAAGCAAATAATAGAATAATACTTTTAATATTCTCTTTAGTAAATCAGCTACAAATCATTAATTAGATGATTATTCAAATGATGAAATATAAACACATGTTTATATGTATAACAAATAATAATATTCTTAAAAAATTACCGTGAACTATGACTTTATTTTCTGTATCTTTAACATCAACTGCAGGCGTAAAATCAAAAGCACAAACACCAACTGCCCATGTTATTGGAGATCCTACGATACCAGCACCTCCATAACCCTCACGATCTCTTCCTCCAATGCCGCCACCACCAAAAAAGTCATCAAATACCTTGTCAATATCACGACGAAATCGGCCCCACGTTCGATTAAAGGATGGATCATAAGTTCCAGTACCAGTGTTATTATTATAGAATGAACTGTATTTTCCAATTTTGCCATCTCCACTTTTAATTTGTTATGTTTTAAAGAAAAAAAGTAAAAAAAGCAAAGATGATGATCAGAAGAAAAAAGAATTATGAAAAATTGACATTTTTTAATCATGATTACATAAAAATTCATTATATAAAATTTATTATTTTATAAAATCAAATCGACGCATTAATTTCAATTTGTTGAAAATTCAATGCCCGCAATGCCCGCGTGTAACATTACACACCAATAAATTTTTTAATTTTTGGAGATAGTTTCTAAATTTGTACTAGTTACACGACGAAATTTCAACACTGTTGATCACCAAAAAATTTCGGAAAATACACTTCCCAATCGTTTAATGTGACAAATCGTTCGACTGTTGATCACCAAAAAATTTCGGAAAATACACTTCCCAATCGTTTAATGTGACAAATCGTTCGACTAGTAATAGTTACACGACGAAATTTCGACTTGGATCGTCCTGATTAATGTAACAGGCTTACTTGTTATTGTGTATTAATTTATTTTTGTTTTGGAAACAAGTCTAAAATGAACAAATCAAACTTGATAAAAAAAATGTAAGAAAAGGATTTTTTCCTAAATAATAAGATTTATGTATTTCGTTTAATAATCAACAAACTACTTTTGGGAATTTGTAAAATAAATTCCATTATATTTATATTTTAATATAAAGTTTAAGTGGTGTAATTAATTGAAATAATGAATGACGTAAAATTAATTGTTCTTCTTGAACAAAATAGGAGAAAAGCCATCCATAACAACGACAACAACAAAAACATTCATCGTTTCTTGTTTATAAAGTTTATACAATAAACTCTTTCTTGATTCGTGTGATTTTATTAAAAAAAAAAAAAAAAAAAAAATACATCTTACGATTATCCTTTATGTCGGAAAAATGTTAATTACAATAGTATTAGCATTTGAAAAATAAAACCTCTTTGTTACTTTAATTAACGTTCATGTGGAGGAGATCAATTAATTAAGTGGTAAATGATGATGAGTGGTGTGTGGAGTGTGTGAGTGTGTGTTTGTGTGTTTGTGTTGATCATAAATATTTATGCGATCATTGTTAAAAAATGGAATGTAATTTTTCTTTATTCATAAAGTTTTATTTGGATTGTACAATGAATTAAAAAAAGAACGGTAATATATAATGGGAAGTATGCGTGTGCGCACTCTTGTGTATTGTTGTAATGGTGTTTTCCTTAAAAGAGCGAACAGCTTTGTAAATAATGGAAAAAAAATTTTTCTCTAATAAAATTATTATTAATTAATTTATTTTATCAAACGCGAAAAACAAACAAATTTCTTCGAAAACAAAGAATTTTAAACAGTTAAGGACGTTAACAATGAAAATCTGAATAAAAATATAAACTTTATTATTTATTTATTTTTTTAGTAATTTATTAAAGAAAAAAACAGTACAAATAGGCTCGATATTCCCACTAATTTTTTTAAAAAAAAACTTTTTAATAAATAATAATATTTCAAATAAAAAAATAAAAATCAAAAATAATAAATCACTCACACACATAACTTAACTTTCAATCAAAAAACATTCATTAAATTTTATAAAAATGTCTACAAAATCAGCAACCACATCATCCGACAACAAATCCTTGATTTACGATACTTTGAAAACTTTGTCAGCTCGTGACGAATTATCACAACATGATTTCTTTCCTGGCGATGACGACGACGAAGTTTATGCTCCCGAATCTTTTTCAAAATTCTTTGGTGACGTTGTTTCTGAAGAAGAATTACAACAAGTCCTCGAACAGTTGCAAAAGGAGAAACAACAATTTGGCAAAAAAAGAAATTTTCAACTAAAAAAAAAAACTAAAAATGATGTTGTTATTGTTAATATTAATGGTGATGATTCCTCTACTGGCGACGACGAATCCAACGACTCTAGCTAGGTGGTTAAAGGAGTTGTGGTGTTTAATATTTTGGTGTTAAAAATAGAAGTTATTTGTGGGGACATTCTTAGACATAGACATTCTCTAAAACATTCTTTATATAATACATTCATTTATTTTATTTCATATTTTATTTGCATTTTCATTCATTTGTAATTATCATTTGCATAAATAAATATATTTTTTATTCTTCAAAATTAACAAAAATGCTCGTAATGTTAATAATAATGCCATGACTACCAATTAAATAACGTGTATATAAATAAAATCTAACCTCTTGCTATCTCTTTCTCTTTCTCTTTATCTATTATAATGAATGACCTAAAGTAAATTTTCTATGAATAAAAATTATTTTTTGAAAATAAATAAATAATTAATTATTATATATATATAAAGTGGGATTACATACAATGCCTACATAAACTATGCCTAAGTATTTACATATATGCAAATATATATATATATATGATCGAGAAAAAATGTATATTATATAAAAATATCTAAATAAATATCTTTTTATATTAAATAGGCACATAACACAATCATTCTATAAAAATTGGAATTATATACAAAAAAAAGAATGTCACTTGTATATGGTAAATAATAGATAGTTCACATTTGGTAATCTTAATAAAAATGAAAATGGGAATAAAAAAATAAAATCACTGGTATCGATTTCCTTGGCCTTTTGGACATCTATTTGCAAAGTGTCCTTTCTCCCTGCACTATAATCATATCGGTTAGTAATTATTATTATTGTGTGAAATGGGGGTTTTTTTTTTTAAATTTAAATAAATAAATTGCTCTAACCTTGAAACATGTAACTTCGGCCAGTGATCTATAATTATTTGTGTGGTGACTTCCTGGTTGGCGCTAAAATATTACAAACAAACAAAAAAAAAAAAAAAGTAAATTATGATTATAATTATTTCGCTTTTTCGCTTTCCCTCACAAATATTCGCACTTACATCATCTGAAATCTCGGTAGCAATCTTGTTGTTATTATTACTATTAATATTGTTAATATTATTAATACCCATATTCATATTATTATTATTAATGTTCATGTTGCTATTATTATTGTTATTATTAATAATAGAATTATTGCTATTGTTGATTAGGGTATTGTTAATGCTGTAGTTGTGAAGGTTTGGATGATGATCGCTCATGAGATGATCATCGTCAAATCCATCATGTTCACGTTGAGAAGATGGTAATTCATATTTTGGACTACAAACAAACAAATTAGTGTTATTTTTAGCTTTTTGAAAATGTTTTTATTTTATTTACAAATGATTGATTAAAAACTTACTGTCCATTAGGGCATTCAGATCCTTTAGGACAAAATCCACTTAAATATAATTGACATACAACTTTCCTAACATGTTTATGTCTACAATGTGGTCCTATATTAAATTTATATAAATCATGGGAAGGAAGGAAAATCAAATTTTAATAAAAAAACTTTTTTTTTTTCAAATCAATTTTTTTTTTTCCACTCAGTTTTTTTTTTAAATAGTAAAGGAAGAAAAAAATAAATTGCCTACCATGTTTACAAAATCCCCTAGCATACCAAGCACATTCTTTAATTTTAGTTTCAGGATCAATATGTAAATACATGCAATCCTCATTACTACACTCGCCATATCTTGAATAAAACCAACATTCAGGCATTTTTCTCATGTTAAACTCATGCAAGAATTCACATTGTTCTCCTTTTTTACAAAGCCCCCGTAACCAATGCTTACATACTACCGCCTTTTCTCGTTGTTGTTGTTGATGACCTGTTATTGTTAGATGATGATTATTATTATTGATAATGTTTAGATTTTATACTTTTTTTTGTACAAATTCCTTTTGAAAGGATCTTGACAAACTATATAGTATTGGTAAATATATTTTTTTTAGAAATGAAAATTTTAAGTTGTAATACTTGCTTGAATTATTTGTTACTCCTAGACCTAATTCTGTTTTTATGTAATCTTCAAAGTCAAATGTGAAATCCTTTTGATGAGAGAAAAAATCTGGAACAGGCATTTTTGCAAATTGTAAATTTAAATTTGTAATTGTGGTTGATCTAAAAATTTAATTTTTTATTTCACACTTAAAAAAAAATTTTAGATCAAATGGGGCATACTGCAGTATATTTTTATTTATATATAACACATTTAAATACTGAACAAATTTGGACAAGATTATTAATTTCACAAATAAAAAGAAAATGATTTCTAATATTTTCTTTCTATCAAATTCCAAATTTTTCTTTATTAAAAGATTTTCAATAAAAAAAGTTTTTGTAAACAACTTTCAATCTTCTTCCATCGCCTCGTATTCTTCATCTAATAATGATAATTCTATTGATTCGAGTAATTCAGAAACTTCTGCAAACAAAGATGATTATGATAGTAATAATAGTTTATCAGTAACGAAATTGTTAAATACCTTGGAACCACCTAAAATAATAGAACTAATACGTAAAAGGTATGAAAATAGAGATAAATATGGTGATGTCAAATATAACTTTAAATTTGACAACAACGACAATAATTCTACCACTAGAAGTAAATATAGTGAAGCTGCTGTGTTAATGGTAAAAATATACACATTATATGCTTTGCATTTTTAACTTTTTTTTTTGTTTTCCTCCTTCTTATTTAAGAATAGCCTTTTTGTATAATAGATGATAAATTAAGTGTGTTATTTACCGTCAGAAGTAGCAACTTGAGTACTCATCAAGGTGAAGTAAGGTAACAACAAATAATGATAATAGTAATAATAATAACAATAATTGCTGCAATTATAAACTTATATACGTAAATACATTGAAAGTTTTCCAGGCGGAAAAAAAGATTTGTCAGATTCATCATTGATTTCAACAGTTTTACGTGAAACTTATGAAGAAATCAATGTAGAATCAAAATATATTGATATAATTGGCCAAGAGATAGATTTACCAAACGTTCAACACACTTTAAAAGTTACACCGTTTATCGGTTTCATTAATTTTCCAAAGAATAAATCAACAACAATTGTCATTGATGAGATGATAAAATTTGATAATAAAGAAGTTGATGAAGTGTTCACTGTTACACTAGAAGATTTATTAGATCCAAATAAAAAATTTATAAGACAATTTAGAAAGTCTAAAATAAAATATTCGGTAAATGGATGGATTGATTGATGGAAGTTTAGAATATTTGATTGATTAATTAGTTAATTAATTAATTAATTAATTAATTTTTTAATTTATTTATTTTATTTATTTATGAAATTCTCCTTTGAAAGGTGTTCCAATCACCGCCTTGGATTGGATTAGAAATTTGGGGATTAACTGCATTTATTATTAACAGTATGTATATAACAATAATTTATTTGTATTTGTTTATTTACTGAATTATTTCAATTGATTGACTATTTATTTATTTGTATATTAATATATAGTTTTCTTGAAAAGAATTACAATTCCACCATTAACACAAAATGAATAACTTTATATCAGAAATAGTCATTATTTAAAAATCATATTTTCTCTTTTTTTATTTCTGATAATGTGTATCCATACAAATCAAACTTGATGTTTGTTTATTTCTCACTCACCGTTTGTGTATTAATTGAAATAAACACATTCATCACGCGTCAAAATGGTATAACATCATCTAACGCACGTGATAACTTATTATAGTAAAAAACTATGGGAAAAAGTCTAGATTTCTTAAAGTATTATCATTATTGTTGTTATACTATTTTGCTTTAATGAAAGAATATTTCTTCCCACGTTGTATTATTTCATTCATTCATTGGTAATTTACAAAGTTAAAAAATTAAAACGAATGTTTTGTTGGATATTCATGATGAATGATGTTCATCACATTGTCATTGTTTTTCTTCTGCCATCACGTTTATTTCAATTATTATCTTATCGTTGTTGTTGCCTCTTCTGATGTGGATTGTCTCAGATATCATCGTTTCATTAATGATATATGATATGTTTTTATTTAATAATTTTTATCATGGATGGTGATGAATATTTTCAAAAGATAATCTATAAACTGAATATTATTAAGAACATTTAATCATACAATATAATTGTTTAATTGCTTAAAATTTCCAATTGTTATCTGTAATGTTAAATCAATTGACCACCTCCCGCCAAAGCTACCCTTTATATTACAATCTATATAAATCTATAAATACAACTTATTCATTATCCATATATTTATTCATTTACCAAATATAAAATACTCACAACGCTCTACAAAAAAAAACCTAACCAGGTTTCTTCTCACCAACTCATTCAAGGAACTACTGCAGTAACATAAACTTCTGCAAGATTATCAGTGCTGTCACCCTGGTGATTCTCCTCATGTCTTCCTTAAATGTCTTCAGTTTTAAACCATTTGCAAACTTTTCTTGTCACGATGTAAGTTCTTGGATTATTAACGAAAATGATTATAATTGTTCTCTTAGCTCATTTCTTTTTAGAACTTCAAGTTATTCTAAGCGAGAGAAACTTTTTACTATTTATAATCGAGAAGAACCTTGTTACGAGTCTTTTGTCTGGGTAACGTTTACTCTTTCTACTTGACTATTTTTTAATTCTCGAAAGAAACTTTCAATCTCTCTTTTTATTATGTTTTAAAATGCTATTTCAATCAACCACTACTTGTTTCTATTATTATAATAAATAATTCTTTCAGAAATAAATAAAATAAACTCGGAATTCTTTCCCGAGTATTAAATTTCGTAGCAACCAATATACTCAAAATTTGGTATAATGTAAAGAGATATTTAATGAATTACAAAATTGCTATTACTATCTACTATAATACTATTGTGACTTTGACGTTTGGTTAGAACATCATCATATTTATTTAAAGTATTTTGATGTTTGGTTAGATAATCAAAGATAATCATATTCATAAATAAAGCCCTAACGCGATTTCGATGTCTAATTGGATCATCATCGTATTCATTTGGAACTAATGATAATGTCATTCATTATCTTGTTGAATAATTCATTTAACGAGCTGCATAATTTATTTATATCAGCATCCATTTCTCAAATTTTTAGGAATGGAAAAAAATCCATAATAATAATTAATTGCACCAATGATAATATTTAGCAATTAGAACATTTTTTGTTCGATATAAATATTTCGAGAATATTGACAGTTATCTATTTATTAGTCTCGCATATTTTTAGAAATCTTATTTATTTTCGCCAAACGCACTGGCTTACAGTTTTCCAAAAAAAGGGAATCTTCTACAATCCGTTTTATAAACAAGTTTACAACCGAGGACGCAATGCAAGCTTTTGCTTTTTGCCCATTATCATTACACAATCACTTTTCCGTGCTACGCGAGGACAAAAATTCACTTATATTTTAACATCACGTCGACATTAAAGTTAAGTTGCGTCTTCTTCATCGCAAAGAGCAAAAAAAGACATCATCCGGACAAAGACAATAGTCAATTTTATTAAGTTCGAAACATATAAATAGGACAGCCGTACCCACATTTTTTTTTTTCATAACAGCAACGTAGAGACATTCCTCTCAGGTCATTTCGGCACATGAAACTCAACCTTCTACATTCAACTTTAAAGCATTACTTTCCACTCGCAACTCATCCTATGTGAAAAAAGGATTGTCAGGTAAAGTATCACACATAATACGTCATTGAAATAAATTTAATGAATGTGAATATAAATTTATACAGTCGAGGCTCGTTATAGTGGCCTCGCAAACTTTTATAATTAACCATTTCTCGTTACAGTGGAAGAAAAATAAAAATCCACATGGAACCGTGCGTAACAAGCTTTGACTTTAATTATTCGTTCTTTTTAGGGAAGAGGAACAGGGGGTGAGTGTATGAGAATGAACACAAGTTTCATTTGCAGGTGGTTCATCCTTCTTGAAATAATCAGAAATTCTAGTCCCTTGTTGCATGCATTTGTATTTTACACTTCCAGGATAAAATGCGCAGAGGTCAAATTTGATAGTAAGAATATCATTAGATGGGTGGACAAACCAAATGGTATCTAACCTCAAGTTCGAGCCTGTTGGAATTTGCATTTCTAAAAACGTCATTTGTATAAAATATGCAGTTTTCGTAGAGAACTTACTTCTTTCTGCATTATCCACGATTTTTCTAAGATATATCTTGCTCATCACAATAAATTCTTTAAAAGCATCTATTCACTTATGAAACGCAAAATGGCCACCGTTGTTGCCCTTAGATGCCGTCATGCTCATAATCAAACAGATATTTTTACTGGAATTTGCTTAAAGAGAAATATCGAAATCGACAGTATAAAGCAAGTCGAACTAGATATAAAATAAAAATTGTATTACGAATCTATTCACGGATATCAGTTACAGTCAGTATTCAAACTTGGGAATGAAGATAAGAAGACTGTTTCATAATAATTTCTTGGCGAGAAAAATTTAAATAAAATCAAGGTTCAAAAAAAAATACATATATTCCTAACTTTCTAAAAGTAAATAATAAACACAATCGCAATCTTAATGAGGAAGTTAGATAGACAAAATAAAGAAATTTAGTTGAGATTAATAATCAAATTGCATTTTTATTTTTAATTGCTAATATAAATTTTTTAAAAAAAAACCATAAAATAAAGCTACTATTGATGTTTTTATTATTTATTGAACAGTAATACGCTTGACTGTGACACCCTTCAGTTCTTGGAAGCTAATAATGAATAATAATAACCTAATTCCGAGCACACCCAAATCTAAACGTGCATCAACTTTATCACGATCAACGTTGGTGGGAAGCGGTAAAGAACGCATAAAATAACCATAATGACGTTCTCTAGTCCAATCAGTTGCAGTATCCCAAGAATTTTCCTTGGATGTTTATCCACTAAAAATAAAAAATTTGCTTTGCCTGATAACTAAATTATCATCACGAATATCGACCATATTATTATATAATACATATTAACGAAAACAATAATAATTGATTAAAGCAAATAATAGAATAATACTTTTAATATTCTCTTTAGTAAATCAGCTACAAATCATTAATTAGATGATTATTCAAATGATGAAATATAAACACATGTTTATATGTATAACAAATAATAATATTCTTAAAAAATTACCGTGAACTATGACTTTATTTTCTGTATCTTTAACATCAACTGCAGGCGTAAAATCAAAAGCACAAACACCAACTGCCCATGTTATTGGAGATCCTACGATACCAGCACCTCCATAACCCTCACGATCTCTTCCTCCAATGCCGCCACCACCAAAAAAGTCATCAAATACCTTGTCAATATCACGACGAAATCGGCCCCACGTTCGATTAAAGGATGGATCATAAGTTCCAGTACCAGTGTTATTATTATAGAATGAACTGTATTTTCCAATTTTGCCATCTCCACTTTTAATTTGTTATGTTTTAAAGAAAAAAAGTAAAAAAAGCAAAGATGATGATCAGAAGAAAAAAGAATTATGAAAAATTGACATTTTTTAATCATGATTACATAAAAATTCATTATATAAAATTTATTATTTTATAAAATCAAATCGACGCATTAATTTCAATTTGTTGAAAATTCAATGCCCGCAATGCCCGCGTGTAACATTACACACCAATAAATTTTTTAATTTTTGGAGATAGTTTCTAAATTTGTTACTAGTTACACAACGAAATTTCAACATTGTGCGGGACCTCTTAAACCACCATTTACTGCGCCTCGTGGCCAAATTTCAAAAATGGGTCAAATTTTAAAAATTTTCAATTCATCTAAAAATGCAATAATATTTAACTCCGAAATGTTACACAACATCAATTTTATTATTTTAAAGGTAAAAAATAATTTATATAAAATAATTTTAATTATTAATATTATTAATATTGTTTGGAATTTTTCTGTGAGATTTGTATTTTTTGACAGTATATAAGGCCTCTACTCCTGTTAATCCTTTTCTATATGCATCCATAAATCTCCAAACTCTTTGTGCATATTTACGAATACTTTCAAATGAAACTGAATTTAATGCTAAAGGAATGGTTTTCTCCAAGGATTTAAATGTATAGTCACAATTTTCTCGTGCATATTTTTTTGCAGCTCCCCAAAACATCTCTATAAGGTTAAGTTCACAGTGAAATTTTGGGTAAAATATCACTTTATGACCACAAGCTTCAATAATTTCTTGAATCAAAGGTTTCTTTCTGGTTCATAAAATCTGGTTGAAGTTCAAGAATTCTGACAGCACAACAAAAATTTTGAACAGGTGATCTTTTTTTACAGTCATCACAGATTCGATTTAATCCTGGAATCCATAAGTCTCCTCTTCAAGAATTTTTTTAATTCCTTTTGGTGTTCCATCAGGTAAATGCATTAATTGTTTTGATCCATCAGATTTTATTCCATCTCTAAATTTTTGTTTTCCACCTGGTTTAATATTCATTCTTCTTGCAATCAAGCATTTTTAGCATAAAGAGAATGACTGGTGGCATTATCAAATGCAAACACTCCAATTGAATCTTGGTGAAGTTTTTCAAATATTGGTATTGCTTTTTCAAGAATCTGAAATTTAATTATTTGGTTATTAAATCTTCTAAACTGATATTAATTAACTTTAATATTTTTACCTGGTTGACTAAAAGTTCAGAAGTCCACCAGCCATCACAATTAACTCCAGGTTTCATAATGACACAAGCTTCTTCATTTTCAAATCTTAATCTTCCATCAATCTCAGTTAGAAAATCACTAACATGAATGCTTAAACTGGTACCTTTTTTCCTCAATGGCATATATCCTTTAGGCCCCCAAAAAATTTTTTTTCCATCATTAGAATAAATATTGACTCATCATGAGTAACAAGAATGTGCCTTCTTTCACCAGGATTCAAGGATGGTTCAATAATCATCATTATATCATTTTCATCTGGCTTAGGCATTAATCTTTCAAACACTTCCATTTGGGTAAGGAATATTTCTCTGTATTTAACAACATCATCCCTCTCATGACCATCACAATAAATATCTTTATGATGTTTTTGATAAGTCCACCCTAGTTCTTTTAACCATACCCTTGCAGTTTTCTCACTAATATTTTTTTTCTCTTCAATACTAATTTTTGGAAAAACTTCACTTTCAACAAATTCTTTAAAGTTCTTAACTTTAATATCACTCAATTGTTTCACCAGGTATTCTTGTAATTTTTTATTTATGTCCTCATTCCATAGGAGTGATTTTATCTTTGGATATTTACCTTGATTAGAGGCTGGAATTGTGCCAAATTTTAAAAACTGTTTTGACCAATTACGAATTAGTTGAGCACGATACTGCGAGCGTGCAATCCAAGTTTCCTAATTAATAGGTTATTTATGGTTCAACACACAGCCTCCTTGCTGACTTACAGTTGATTCTATTGTTTGACACACAGCCTACTCACTGACTTACGGTCAGTTTCCTTTATTTATATATATATGACACACAGCCTACTCGCTGACTTACGGTCAAAAATCAGTAAAATATAACTTTTATCTTTTCAGATAAAAGGATCCTAGGTTCTATATATGTAAGTATATCCCAAAGGCGTCCCCTTGAGATGTCTCTTGATAGTTAAGATACTGGTTAACTGCTATGGGCAGCAAAGGTTTCCCCTTGGTGGTTTATTAATTAGTTAAAAGTTATTATTTTCAAGGTAAAGTATGTTATGTGTTTTTATTAGCAATAATAATATTATTATTACAATGTGTTAGAAAGTATTAATTATTAGATCAATAATTAAAAGATTGTTGTGAACATGATGATTCTGACTTGGTCTAAAACCCAGTCCTTTTATACCTCTTGGGGTATTACAAATAACATGACTTTTACTCTAGTTTGTCCAATAAACTATGCTTATTAATATAAAATAAATATTTGGGTCAACTGATCATTACAAATAATAATTAATAATTTAAAGTAAATATTTACATCAGCTGAACAAATTCTTGAAATATAAATATAGAAATATGAATATGAGTAATTGTGCGTGTGATACTGCGCAATGTGTGGCACAGTATTTCACAAAATATAACGTTAAAAATAAAAATAGAAATGATTTAATTTTCACGTGACTTCCGCAGTAATTTGGTTTGGTTGGATCGGCAACGTGGGACCTCTCTATCGGTCCTCATTTTACTATCTCACATTATCAATAAATCACATTTATGCTATTTAGTGTTCCATGTTGCAATCCAAAAAAGGAAACCAAAGTGGTCGCAAAGTGGTTGCAACCAGGTGTTGCAAACCATTTTTATATGTCACAAATATGGTTGCAACCATCACCAAAAATTGTGACCAGCATATATAATGCTATTAACTTGGATTTTCTGATTGTATTTTTTGAATGATCTATACAAGGTATAATCCAAGAAGTAATTCTGTTTATTCAAAAAAGGGCACTCATCTCATCAATTAACATTCCCAAGACTAAAGAGATAGTAGCTGATGATAGATTTGGCTCAGTTATTTTCCGATGCTGAAATGTGGAAGGTAAAACAATGAAGGCTAAATATAAACAAAAAGAACTAGTGGACAGTGTAGAATCAAGATAATGGCATGATCTAAGAATTATTTGAACACCCAGGGTTGTGTAATCAATTGGACAATGATACATTTCTGTGTCCTATGGGGGTTTGGTTTGGTTTGGTTTCATAAAACCGGTTTAAACGGTTTGAATGGTTTTTTGAACAACATTACACGACCCCTATTTAATTACCAAAAAAGGAAGTGACTTTCATTCCTTTTTGGAAATTCCTAAATAATACAGTCAGGGATCTTTCCAAATTTGGAATGTGGCTAATACAACAATTGATCGACAATAAATGTCTTCTTTCG